TTTAGTGGTATATTCGCTCGGTAGGTTACCCCTACACCACTCACTCCTGGAAGGAATTCTGACTTTGAAAACTTCATCAAAGTCCGTGTGTGGTGTAATATAGTCGGATGGTTGGTTCAACATTCCAGGTAATAGGCTTAAAATCTTAGCTTGTCCATATGTTCTTGATCTCCGATACTTCCCTTTGTCAATACCAAACAAGCTGCATCCATAACAAATATTTGTGGAAAATATCAGCCCTTTAGCTCTTCTCGTTCGGACTCTGTAGTAAACTCATTTGGAATACTTAAAATAAAAGTATTGATTTCAAATTGACCAAAGAGATCAAAGTTCTTAATTTAAGTGTTTTTTATTAAAAAAAAAACAATAGTCTCACTTGTTTTTGTTTATTTATTTTAATTAACAAAATCATGCTTGTGTCTTAAGTCTTTTGTTTGAAGTTTAAACAAATCGAGCAAAAGTTTTATTCATTCCTTAATACTCAATATATCTTTTGATTTTTAACAAAGATAAATTATAAAAATAAGCATAAAAACTAAAAAAAGCAAACAAAAAATCTTATCAATAATTTAATAACACGTGCTACATTTTATAAATCACACAAAAAGAAACAAAAAATATTAAACTATAAAAAAGTTGTTAACTTTCATTGAACAATTTACCCAAAATGGCAAGAAAAAAAAAAACAAAAAAAAAAATATAATAAGCAAACGAACACAATAAAATTAAATAAAGAAAAGATAAAAAAATAAAATAAATAAATTATTTTAACATCTGTATCGATTAATTTCAATTACCTTGACTGTGAGCACACCATCTTGGGAGAATAAACACAAAACTTTAAATAAAAAAAATTTATTAATATCTTTTTTAATGAATTAAAATTTCAACTTTATTGTGCTGTTTATAATTATATACTTTTTAAGTCAATAACCAATTTAACCATATTTTAGCTAATTTTTGCCAAAATATAAAAAAAACAACCTTGAAAATTATTAACAAAATTAGTTTAAATCTAGATAATGAGGCTTTTGTAAATGGTTTAGTTGACAATTGCAAAGACAACAAAAGAAAAAATAAAAGCTCTGGGACCGTTAATAATTTTATAGCAATTTAAATTTTATTATTTATAGCTTAGCACTAGCGGAAATGAACTTGAAAGAGTTTTTAAGGAACCTATAAAATTTAAACAAAAATAAACTAAAGGTATCAACAAATTTTAAATGATTAATGATAATTTGAAAGCATGAAAATGAAACATATTAATCCATTAACTATTATTATAAAAAAAAAACGTGGGTGTTTTTATCTTCTTCTTCTTGTTGCCTTAATAAAGTTAACACAGATTTATTGTAGATTTTTTTGTTTAATAAAATATTTAGCAAAATATTTATTTAAATAATTTGTTAGTTTTTTTTTTTGTTTGCATTACAAAATATAGCGGTGCTTCAATTGTGGTTGATTTTTAGTTAAAAATGTTGTCGTAAATTATATGACGTTTTATTATAATGATATGAAATTTCTTTTTAATTTTAGAAAATTAAATATTTAGAAATAAGTTGTTTTTTTAAATTTCAAAATATTTGTTTTAACCATTAATTTCTTATGACTAAAGTAGTAATATGAAATGTGACTAAAGTCAGTTTGAATTAAAGAAACAAACTATTTTATTTTTGTGATAAATTCAAATTAAAATTTTACTTTTCAATAACATTTTACTCGTATTTAACAACTATTATACACTCTACAGAAAGCAGGAAAAGTAAAACACATATTTCTTTCAACATAGTGGAACAAGAATTAGATTTCACAAGGAGATTTACACTACTTGTATTTTTAAGATCGTTATAAACGTTAATGTCATTTTTAGCATTTGATACCAAATGCTGAATAAATAAGGAATATTGGGGAAAATTTCAGACCTATAAATCTTCTCGTTTAGACCTTATCAACATTAGACGATCTAGCCATGTTAAATCGATTTAAAATCCAATATGGAACCATAGCATATCGATGTTTTTCAAACAGAATGATAAAATCAATACACTTTCATATATCTGTTCCTAGTCCATTTCTAAATGGTCCCAGCAGTTCGGTCGGACAGTCCCGAACTCCCTATTTAACCTACCACATAGGGTTACACCTAACCACCAACTGTCCAGGTGACTAGCTATTTTAGGGGACACTAAAGTGACGATTATCTTCACCCTCGTTTACAAAGAGTACATCCGTGACGAAAGGCAAATTAAAACCAACCATCACGGTCTTTTTCGGTTAGGCCACTTTCGGGCCTGTTGTGCGCTCCTTTTTCATGAAAAAATAATGTTTCACTGAATGTATTATATTTTAATGTTCAGAAACTCAGTTTCCTGGACGAAATTCCTAAGTCGGGAATGTAATTTCCGGAATATCATCACTTCCTAGATACTTTGACCAATGTCTGACAGTGGCAAAGAAAGTGCTCCAAAGTTTCACTGTCCTTTCCATATGCTCAACATTCGTCTGAATCCGTACGTCCAATTTTGTATTGATGTGCTCGTAATCCTGTGTGCCCACTCAGAATACGTACCATCATACTAACTTCAGGCTTGCTCATTTTGAGAAGATTCCTCAGGGTCACCCCATAGGATCTTTGAAGTTCTACCCATCGTTTCATTATTCCAAGCGACCTTATGGGATTCTCTCACCCATATTTTTAATTCAGCTTTTGCGTTCGTCGAGCTCCCTTCCGTTTAAAGCTATTACATTCGACTTTTCGTTGGCAACTACTCCCAAGTAGCCTGGTACTCATATAAAGTAAACCTTACCTCGGGTGAAATATTCAGTCAAAGCTTTCGGTCTTAGATGTAATTCTATCACCTGATATCGCCCTAATTGCCTTCTGGCCCTGTGAGCGGCATATTTATTCTAATCCTATTTATACATTCCGTTTTTGCTCGGACCTTTGTCTGAAAGCTTGTGTTACGATTGGGTAAACGGAGTTTCTGGGTCTTCAATATAGAACGCCAAGCCCACGTTGTCCCCCAATTTAGAGCCATCCGTGTAACAACGGACTCCTACTGGTATTTGCTCTTATATGCCACTTGACCAAGATATTCTAACTGAGAATATCGAAAGTTTGAAAGTTTCCGACATTTTCTGTCTGGTATGCGATTAGGCACGTTCGATGATTGTGTGTAACCTTCCAATGTGTCCAGTATATTTCCGTTTCTGGGTCTTCAATATAAAACCCCAGGCTTACTTTGTCCCCCAATTTAGAACAATGTGTTCAGTATACATTGATTACGTGTCCTATAACCGCTTTTGACCAGTTCGCCTAAAATAAAGAGGCGTTCGGCTGTAAGCGCCTCATATCTTAAATATCTTTCAATGGGTGGAATATCTAGCAACGTTTCCAGAGCCTTGGTTGACGAAGTACTAATGCCAGCACTTATACGCAAGTAGCATGTACGCTGAACTCCTGGAAGTAGTTTGATATTACACTTTTTGTCCAAAGCAGTCCACCAAATTATTGAAGTAGTCTTGCACAATTCTGTTAGACATGATTTCTCAAAAAATTAGAATTTTTGTCTTGCATATAAACACAATGAAACAACAACAACAGCTTATATGAATGTGTTGTTGTATTTAGTTTGCTTGTTTATAAAAATCTAAACAGGGCATGAACAAGTTCTAACATATAAAGTGGCAGAATTATACATGTTAGTTATTTTCAAATTTAACGGTAGTCAGTGATGGAAGATTGTGTATGAAGTATGTAAAATTAAAAAAAAAATATTTTATTTATTTATGAAAATTAAAATAAATTAAAAATAATTTTTTTTTAAACCAAACAGACAAACGAACAAACAGATTAAAAGAAATTTTGCAATTGGTTTAAATCAGTTAGAAAAATATCCTTGTCGTTATTGGAAATAGCCCCCTGAAAGGTTTAAACTCTAGTAAAACTTTTCCAAATGCCATGAAAATTCTTTTCATTCTTTCTCACCTTCCTCGCCTCATGTAGGGTACTTTAAAATTTGTTTCCCATAAAATCAAAATACTTAATTTAAAAATTTGTTTATTTGTTAATAACTTTGTTTATTTACTTTTCTTTTTCGTCATTTATTATTATTTAACGCTTGATTTATTTAATTATCGTTAAAAAGGTGTGTCACTATTGTTTTCAACGATATTTTTTTGTTTATGTGTTGACGCAGAAAATTACTTAAAAATCAATATTTAATATGCCGGTTTTAATTTCATTGGAAAATATTCGTATTTTATTTATGTCGTACAATAAAAACTAAAAACTACTGTTAATTTAAAAAAAATAATAAATATTAAACAAACAACAATATAAATCATTAATAAAGGAAATTGTTAAATATTAATAATGAAATTGTTTGGGGGTGGCTGATCATTGTATTGAATTGGAAATGTTTTACGAGGCTCTCTATTAGAGAATTAAAAAGTCGGGGATTTTTAACGATTGCTGTAAATGAGATGTAAGTAATAAAAATATATTTACAACTTTTTATATTGTTATAATGAATTTTGTTTATTAAAATGTTACTGAACTTTCCTAAGAACAAAAAGGTTATATTGTAAATAAAATTTTGATATCAATATTTAAACGAATTTCACAAAAACCAATTTAAATATTCACGACTAACTTGATCTTTTTAAACTAACTATAAAGTTTCGAGTGTATCAACATAGTATAATCGCTTAACCGCAGATTTATGCATAAATCGCAATTAACAAAAACGAAAAAACGTATGCTGTCAAATTCTCACAAAAAAAATAAGTAAATAATTTATTCATACTATAGAAGCATCAATTAATTAACATCAAATGAAATTTTTAACAGCAACTAACAAATCAAGTGCAACTTTAGAGAAATAAATTAACAAAAAAATTATTACCGTAATTTGTCTGAAATAATAATAATGATGTTGATTGAGTTGCTGATAATGACGTACTAGCAATAATTTATTAGAATTAAAAAAAATACTCACACTCCATCTTTTAACGCACCGGAAATATTTTTAATCAATGATCATCAACTATGTGTTTAATGATTGTGATGTGTCTGAAAATGAGATAAAAAATTTAATATTACTTTTTTATTTGAAGTAAGTAATTAATTTTTGTCATTTCAATTATGTTTGCTATTGATTCCCCGTATCATGTTGTGTTCAATGAAAAGTGTTAGAAAAAATTGTTGTACAAAAAAAAAACTGTAAAAATTAATCAATTATAATTTGTTTAACGACAAAGAAAAGTAAGGATGTTGAGTGGTTTATGATGAAGAGAAAGGTTATGGGAAAAACTTGGGAATGACAAGGAGGGAAGGGCAGAGAGAGGGGAAGAGGAAGGGGAGGGAACAGGGAACGAACGAACGAACGAACGAAGAACGAAAGAAACGAACGAACGAACGAACGAACGAACGAACGAACGAACGAACGAACGAACGAAACGAACGAACGAACGAACGAACGAACGAACGAACGAACGAACGAACGAACGAAACGAACGAACGAACGAACGAACGAACGAACGAAACGAACGAACGAACGAAACGAACGAAAACGAACGAACGAACGAACGAACGAACGAACGAACGAACGAACGAACGAACGAACGAACGAACGAACGAACGAACGAACGAACGAACGAACGAACGAACGAACGAACGAACGAACGAACGAACGAACGAACGAACGAACGAACGAACGAACGAACGAACGAACGAACGAACGAACGAACGAACGAACGAACGAACGAACGAACGAACGAAAACGAACGAACGAAGAACGAACGAACGAACGAACGAACGAACGAACGAAACGAACGAACGAACGAACGAACGAACGAACGAAACGAACGAACGAACGAACGAACGAACGAAAACGAACGAACGAACGAACAAACGAACGAACGAACGAACGAACGAACGAAAACGAACGAACGAACGAACGAACGAACGAACGAACGAACGAACGAACGAACGAACGAACGAACGAACGAACGAACGAACGAACGAACGAACGAACGAACGAACGAACGAACTAACGAACGAACTAACGAACGAACGAACGAACTAACTAACTAACTAACTAACTAACGAACGAACGAACTAACGAAAACTAACTAACGAACTAACTAACTAACTAACTAACTAGCTAACTAACTAACTAACTAACAACTAAACTAACACTAACTAACTAACTAAAACACTAACTAGCTAACGACTAACTAACTAACTAACTTACTAACTAACTAACTAACTAACTAACTAACTAACTAACCACATATAAATGTGTTGTTTCCCAAAAGTCATAAGTATCAAAATTATTGCTAGATTTATGGTTTATTGATTACATTGCCGTCATTTACGGACCGAATTACGCAGATAACAAAATTCTTAATCTTTTCTTAATTGAATTGAAATCATTAATCAAAAATTATTTTTATTCCAGACTATTAATTCTACGCCTACAGCAATTGTATATCTACATATTTGCACAAGACAAAAATTATCATCAAAAACTCACTTTTAAACTTAAAAAAAAACTATTACTTTCTTAAATCCCTAAAGCATTTAAAATAGTATTTCCCCGAAAAAACTGCCCTATCATCTACTATAGCGTGATCTATTAAATGAAAATGCTACTACTTGTTTAGACAGTTGAAAATTGAAATAGTTCTTAATTACCGATATTAAAAAGGTCTGTAAAAACATGTTTTGGAACTTTTTTGAAATAAAATCTATCACGTCATATTTTTTTTTTTATTTTTTGCTTTTTAACTGAAACTACAATAAATGCAAATGATTAATATGTTTAACCAAGAATAATAAAAAAATATAAAATATATTTTGTACTGTGTGTTTTTGAATTCATTAACTTGCAAATGTTTCATCAATCATACTGTCACCTTGTTTATGACAATTGCCGACATCAGATATATTTATACAGGTATAATTTTACTACACATATAATACATATGTATGTATGTACTAATTTATAGGCTAAAAGTATAACAGCAAGATCAGAATGCCCCAGTTCGTATAGCATTTTTTAAATGCAATTTGTACTTTATTAACAAATTGATATGCTTACAAAATTCATCATTATAAAATATAGTCATAATGATAACATTCCGTTATTTATTTCTTTTCGTTTTCTACATAAATTCAACACTGTTTACTAAATATAAAATTTATGATTCCGATTAATTTACAATTAAACAATTATAGTATTAAACTTTTGATTTATATATAAATCGTTTAATAAGATTTCCGCTTAAAAAGCTTAATTAATCTATTGAATAGCTGCAATTGATATCATTTACTTATAAATGTATTAATTTAATAGAGTAATTAATTAATAATAAATTACAATACATAACTGTAAGTTATTGTTTTGCTAAGATAATTTCGATCTCTCAAAACTCACAAGAAAACACTCAAATTAACAAAAAATATATATTTTTCTCGTTTTCGATTTTCAAAGTGTTAAGAATATAGGATTGATCAGCCTTTAAATATTTTTAATTTAATGATTCATATATTATTTTAAATAAAGTTCGATTAGATTAGATAAGGGTAGAGAGTAGAACTAGAGTTAGAGTAGAGTTAGAGTTAGAGTTAGAGTAGAGTAGAGTAGAGTAGAGTAGAGTAGAGAAGAGTAGAGTAGAGTAGAGTAGAGTAGAGTAGAGTAGAGTAGAGTAGAGTAGAGTAGAGTAAAGTAGAGTAGAGTAGAGTAGAGTAGAGTAGAGTTAGAGTTAGAGTTAGAGTTAGAGTAGAGTAGAGTTAGAGTAGAGTTAGTAGAGTTAGAGTTAGAGTAGAGTTAGAGTAGAGTTAGAGTAGAGTAGAGTAGAGTTAGAGTAGAGTTAGAGTAGAGTTAGAGTAGAGTTAGAGTAGAGTTAGAGTAGAGTTAGAGTAGAGTTAGAGTAGAGTTAGAGTAGAGTTAGAGTAGAGTTAGAGTAGAGTTAGAGTAGAGTTAGAGTAGAGTTAGAGTAGAGTAGAGTTAGAGTAGAGTTAGAGTAGAGTTAGAGTAGAGTTAGAGTTAGAGTAGAGTTAGAGTAGAGTTAGAGTAGAGTTAGAGTAGAGAGAAAGTAGAGTCAAAGTGACAAATTTCCCCATGATGTTTATGACAATTAGTTCGAGATAAGTAGCTCAGTGGCGAGAGCATCTGGCAACAAATCGATAGATTCCGAGTTTAATCCAAGTATCAGAGTTAATTCTTTAATGTGAATTTATTATTTTTTCTTGGAGTATGTGAACTAGTAAAATAAATGTTAAGATGTTATGAATAGGGTACCAGTCGGCCACTAGCAATGACATCCCCATGAAAAATTCTCCAGTAACTAATATTGCTAATGGCTTAAAAATTCACTAGTGATAGTTGTTAGTGGCTGGTTATATCGCATTTGTCGAACTTATTCATCATTCATTTGAAATAACCTTTTTGGCCTTTGATCCAACTCTTCATAACTAACCAACTTTAAATACCCTTTCCCCATTCAAATCCATCTATCTTATTGTACCCTCATCTTATATATTTATATATTTTGAAAATTTCTAGTGTAATTAATACTATCTCGTTTAAGATTCATTTAAAAATTCCCATAAATCATTTGGTTATGAATTTTTAATAGATACAATTTAAATTTCTATTTATCCCTTGTTTCTCGTGTGTGAAATTTATTTCTAATCATTTAAATTTCGATTATAATCAAAACTAAAATAATAACAAAATCAAAACACTGGCGCGTGTAAGCTAAATGTCTGTCATAGAGTGTATGCTGCTAAATGGGAGGGCCAGACAAGTCTCAAACATTTAAACATACAACATACGTATTTATGTGTGTTTCGATCATATACATAAAATCTCATTATTGCGACTAAAAAAATATTCATTCAATATGTTGAACTATTTTTTTTTCAAAACAAACAAAAACGATGAAGTTTTCAACCTGATACACGTGTAGTAACACGATCTTTATGATAGAAATAAACCAACAAACATTTTGATTTAAAAATTTCTTAAAATATTTTTTTTTTGAAGATGTTTTAATATTTAAAATTTTTATAAAATAGAAATTCAAAATGAAGAATTGAAATCTCTTTTTTTTAAAAAAAAGCATTTGCTAAAATTAGAAAATTATTATTAATATTCCAATTATGGTTTATATTCGATTTCAAAATGTTTGTTGTACATTCATCCAATTAAAGAAATATTATATTTTGCACACTGGCTTATGTGTATTATTTATTTGATTCTATCAAATTTAATTATGGAAATATAAACAACTGCCCGAAAAACAACAGAATTTGTCTAAACTAACTGGTGTATATTTGAAACAAAATAGCCACTAAAAGTGTATAATTTATTCAGAACTTTGTTTTTTTTTTAGCTTATGTTGGTCGTATTCCGTTCATCGGTCTGTCTGTCCGTCCTTTTAACTATTTGAATGCTTGTTTGTTCTTATTAAAAATCTAATCGTGTTTGTACAACAATAAATTAACCGACAATTTCCAAAACAACATTTTAATTTCATTAAATGGCGAACAACATTTATTTGTTCTTTGAGAACGAGCATGAGGAGCAGCAGCAGAAGCATAAAAGTTAAAATGTATGTTAAAACATTTGGAAAAAGAAGACAATACTACACGTTTTTAAATTGGTTGATGATTTATTTTCTATTGTTTTTTAATGCTTTCTTTCTGTTTGGTCAAGATTATAATCAAAATTAATTCATATACATATGTATGTACATATAAAAAACCAGCTGAACCGATTGGTTACCTTTTGATTATTGTGTTGGTTTTTATAACTTTTTATCTTTTTTATTACTTACCAAAAGTCAGTATTAATGGTAACAAAAAAAAATAGGTGTAAATAATGATGGGGTTACAAAAGAACTCATTCATTAATGAAATTTCTAGTTGTTTTGAGTTGCCATTGTTTCTGTTTGAGGGAAAATTTTGAATTTATTATGACTCTCAATTATTAAAACGAATCTTTTAGTGGTATAATACAAAACTGTTATGTAAGATAAGTTGTTAAAAATGTCAATGATAGT